CACTTTTCCTATTTTTACTCCTAAGCGGTGTTTGTCGCGCGCACCTTCAGCATGTCTTTCCTTTCTACACTTAGGACTCCGAACGGCCAAACTCGTATAATAGCCCAAGGGCCACCATGGGAAGCTTTCAGAGCCAGACCTCCCCAGATTGCACCGCTTTCATTGAAGAGAAGATACATGCAAAAAAAGTTGTTATGTTTGTCAAGCCGTACTGCCCAAATTGCAAATCCGCGATAAGCCTTTTTCGCGATCTCATTGGCACCTCCATCACGGAAGCTGATCTGGACGTAGTGGATATCAGTAACAATCCAAGGTGCTCCGAAATTCAGGATGCACTCAAGGCACTGACGGGTGCGCGAACTGTAAGTAGGCATCCATATTAATGAAGTCTTTCCCCTGTTAGGTACCCCGAATATTCATTAACGGGAAGTCACTGGGCGGCTTTGATGAAGCACAAAGGGCACAGAAAGCCGGAAAATTGCATACTCTTTTGGAATCTTAGTTTTGATAACATGCCTTTCTGTCGACATTATGCATACCTCAAGGACAATCTTCTACTCGGGTATTTGAATATTTTTATGCTTCACTCGACTTTTTTTAAGCCTTGCGTTTGCAAAGACTATAGTGTGCAAATAAAATTACTTTTATTGCTTTTAAAAGTCTCTAGTTGGTTCGAAGAATCAGTGCTGTACTACAATTTTCTTCGTATGTTTTCGTAAAATACAATGGGAGAACGAGTACGGGAACCTTAAGAACCAAATCGCATTACAAGCAGTCGCTGACACCTGTGCTTCTGCTGTACATTTGGAGCACGAGCAGTTTGGTGGTGTGCTATTGCTAGCGTTCACTCGTCTAAGGGGTTTGTGTGTTTAGTAATATTTTGGAGCATATAAATGTCCGTTCCGTTAAGAGATATTGACAGGGATGTCAGAACTTTCTTGCATAGTTGACGGTTCATATTAAATCCCCTCTATGACGTTAAGCTTTGCGGTTATCGCCTTTCGTGGACCGTGTTGACAGTGCATTGCGACGTCCATGGATAGCCAAGAGGGACGCTGAAGCTCACGGCTCTTTGCTACATAGGTCCCCATTTTCTCAAACGCACGCACACAGGCAGCCGTAGTACTCAGAGCGCCAAAGTAGGCACGATCCAGTTCCGCCTTAGAGGTTAAGAGAAGAAAAAGGAGGTTGTGTATTATGTGTAGAAGCTCATTGGAGGCCGGATGCCCAGCTGGCTCTGGGCTCGACGGCCTGTTTGTACGCTAGGGCAATGTGGACTTGAATGAACAGGCGTTATATGAGGGTCAGTGCAAGCTTTTTGAGTCGATTGGGTGACTGTAGAGTTTGTGAGCGCATGCGATTTACTGTACAGAAGGCCACATACACGTGTGTCTCGGCTACTCCACGGCCGTGATCACATGGTCCCTTGTGTGGCGTCGTTACGAGAGGCGGGAGTGCGTCTGTCCGGGCAATTAGGTTTACCACCGCCCCGAAGCCGTCGTGTGTCTGTCGTAGCCCTTGTTGGATCAGGAGTCCCTGCCTGAGTCCAAACTGGTTGTAGTTGGAAGACGGAGAAAAGC